CATTTTTTAATTATAATCTTTTATATAGTACGTTTAAATAATTAAATATAGCAATGAAAATATAATAATTTTCGTAATTTTATATTAAAAATGAAAAGCACATTATATTTCCGAAGTAATATTACAAAATAACGCGAAAACATGAAGAAAAAAAAACATGATTTTTGTATTTCGGTATATTTAGTCCACCTTTGCAATATGGGTAAAATGGGGCAGGTTTTTTCGAAAGAAGAAATATCAAAGAAGACAACAAAAAAAAGTTTAGCTAATTACCTCGTGCAACTTTTTGGAGATAAGTTTCGAAAGTGATTCAAACATTGTAAAATGTCAAATGATAAGATATAAACTTCAAATTTTTTTCAAGAGTATTAAACTAATCCAACAAATTGAAAAATTGTACTATAATTTCAGACTAATTAATTACTCTGATAAAATGTAACAGAAAGGTGAAATTCCTATATATATGTCAGAAATATAAATTTAAAAGAAAAAATTTTAACGTATTTTTCACTACATTGTACTCTCGCCGATCCAAAAAGTAAATTATAATGTTTGGAATGATTATGAATACTTAATTTGGGCAATATTAAAGCTGCCTAAACATATTTTAGTTGAAATTTAATTTTTGACCAAAGATCATGGTCTTCTGGCCCACTGCAGACATGCCAACTGCTTCGGACGAGCCATTATCTTTTAAAAAACGGTTAACAACTGCAACAAACTAAAATTTGCATATAATTTTCTAATTTCGCTTATTTTTTAGACGGTATAGCTAACACATGTAACATAACACAAAGTGGCGAATTATATAAGCTTTCGAATTATTTAGAAATTGTGGTGGATAAAAATCTAATAAATTAAACTTTTTAAACCAAGAGTCATACATTAATAAACTACCACTCGAAAATATTTATTTGCTGTCCGGAGCAAGTTGGCATCTCTGCATTGTGATAAAAAAAAGTTATATTGTATTTATTAAATCAAGAATAAAATATTAAAACTTAAGTTTTAAACCACAGGAAATTCATAAAGAAAACGTATAACTTGGCAGCTAAATTTATGATTTGAGTCTGAAATCCTGTAATTGTAATTTCCTAAGTTAATTTAATTTCCGAAGTTAGCTAATTCAAAGAGTATATTCTCTTATCTTTAAAATCTTTTGTTTTACAACTTTTTCCAACAGTTGTTGTTTAAAAATAAAATGCGTTGAACCACCCGATTTAATCAGGAGAAAAGTTATCTTTAAGACCTGATGAAAATCCGATCAAAAACTTTTAAGTGTTCGATCATCTTTTTTTTTTTTATCTTGCACTGTTCAGCATTTATTTATAACGTAGTTTTTTAATTAAATTGAAAATATTTTTATAAGTTAATGAAATAAATATGAAAATAAAACGTATTTTATTTAGGTGGAAATATGAACAAATATTAATTTTCAAGTTTCTAATATCTTGTTGTTCTTTTTATAGGGGATTATGGTGGTTGCACTTACTACAATAACATTCATTGTATCTGCTATATTGACTTTAATCTTTGAATCACCATTTTTGAGTATAGAAAAAGCTTTATTAAATAAACTCTCTGAAAAAAAGAAACTCAAGAAAGACACAGAACATAAAGATGATTAAAAAATAATTATTGCTTAACATTTTAATTTACGACCAATTAGAGATCGAATTTCGTTTTGTACTTATTTCATATGTATTTTGAATACAGTTGAAATGCACGTTTTGTATGGTAAAATCTCTTAGAGACAAGCAAATAAATTAATGTTGTTTCTCTATTTTGTTCTCTTCTGATTTAAGAAGTATAGAGTTAAAAAATTCAAATAAATTTTTAATTTCAAACGAGAATATTTTGAAATTTCCAGATATTGGTTGCACGTTTTAAAGTAATATTAAATAATAGCAATAATGAAATTATTTAGCCCTGACAGTGTTTTTACAGAAAATAAAAAATAATAATAATTTGGACAAATTTATGATGAATGTGGATGTTATAGTTTCTCATTTTAGATGCGATTTCAATTTTAGAAGTTTATATTATATACTTCAATAACAAAGCTTGATTAGATCTATATTACCAGGAAAGTTTTAAAATCCTGCATTTAAAAACACTTTTGTTATTGATTTTTGAATTGGAAAATACTCTTCCTCTCCCATTGATGCAGAAAAGCCAACTTACTCTAAACTATAAAATTTTCTTCTGGTAACGAAATTTATTTTTCGCTTAGTATTTTTCAATTTACGTAATTTTTCCACCTCTACATTTCAAAGATTCTAAGTTTTTTTATGAAAAGCAAGCTTATCGACGATGAACTCATAATCTGAGACTTGCCCTAGGGCACCTGGCACTTTTGGCATAACCTTATCATGGTTGAAAGCCCTATATATACCGAGACGGAAAAGAGCAAAAACTGGTACGAAAGGTATTTTATTCTAGCATTTTTTTCGAGAAACATTAAATTTCTGCAATTACCGAGATTTTTTTTAACATTTATAGTATATATATAAAACTGCTTCTTTCCTGAGCTAAAGTAATTTTATCTTTCAGTTTTCAAAAATCAATTATTGTACATGTCAAATCATGTTTTATCTTTATTTTTAAAATAAGTCTACAATCAATATTTCTAATGTTATGTAAAAACGTCAATTTGTCATATTGACATTTTTCATTGTTTTAATATTTCTCAAGCAAACCGCTTGATTTTTGTATGGCTACCACAATGTTTGCCAAATCAATGTATTTTACCTGTGTGTAATTTAATGATGAATGGGATAGGGGCCGCTTCGCGCCCCAGGTGCCCAGTTTATTTAAATAAAGCAAGCAAAGCAACTTGAGAAAAAGTAGGTATTGTTGAATAGTTTGAAGAAGAGAATAGATTTACTCCCCCCGAAAACAAGATAAAACTGAAATGGATTTAATACCAGCTTATCCTCGTTTCCGTCTCGCTTTCACCCATGAACCTTATTGCAGTTATTTTGCGATGACATTCTTAGAAAGTAGGCGTAATTATCCTTTTTGTACAAGTTTTTCTATTTAATATGTATATAAAACTTTGGGATTACTGAAAAGTAGCTTTTCACATCAACATCTGAATCATTCATGTGTAAGTGATGTGAAAATAACTTTATATCAAATTCTTCCAGTGGACCTAATACTTTTATTTAAATATGAATACTAATCGGGAGTAATTATCTGAATATATTAGTTTCTCTAATGTAAAACGTTTCTGTAAATATATTTTTGTGCATTTCGAAAAGGTCTCGCCGCCGAAAATCAGAGGTCTTTAAGAAAGAGAGAAAACTCAATTTTTGTTAAACTATTGACCAATTGAAGCAATTTTTTCTAAAATTCCATCCTCATTGTACGCTATGGCAAATCAAAATGTTATGCTAGAAAGGAAGTATATATATCGTTGCGCCTTCATGAAATGAGTCCTTTTCAAGGATTTTTTCTGTAACAACTATTGCTTGTGAATTAAAATATCATGATCAATAAATGTATTCTGTTGAAAATACTGTAAATAAAAGAGCTTTAGTTTACCACCCACATCAATTTTATGCCTTTCGATCACGTTGTACTAATAATATAAAACTATCACTGCATAAAACAATGTTTTCTTAAAAGTATTCGTCACTATTTCGTCGTAAAAACAACGTGATAGTTAACTTTATATTAAAATTATAGTCATCTAAATCTTAATCATATTTATTTCGCTTTCGTGGTACCAAAAACACAGGTATTTCTCTACCTAAATTAATAATACTAAAGTTGTCTATAATAATTCATTTAGTTAGATCGTCTTAAGTGATATTTTAAGTAGTGTTAAATATTTAGTACCTACAAGTGACTTCAGAGTGAGTATTGATCCTGATTGGCTGTTGGAACGTGACATTTTTTTATGTTTAGCATTCATTCGTCATCTTCTATTTCGAGTTAGCCTCTAGCCCGTCAAATATGAATTCTCTTACGTGAAACATTTTAATTCCTTCACTTGTGAAAGATTTGGTTTATTTCTTACTTAACACGAAGCCAGGCACATGATCAAACTAATTATGTAATGAAATTGCCAGATACGAAAAATAACAATTTATGAAGATAATTTAATCAGCAATATCTAAAATATTAACAAGCCATCTTGTTTATAAACAACGAGCTGACGCTGCGGTCATAGGTCAAATGTCTGTGAATCAGTGATTTTCTTCTTCCTGAGTTGTAAAAACCCAATTAGTTTAACGATAAGTATTTGTTTATATACATTTTGTTAGAATGTCTAAAGCAATAAAGTAATGTTAAATAATTAAATGAAAATTCAGCGCTTATTTAGATTCATTTTGTTAAGTAATCTTTATTGATAGTTTAAATAGTGTTGAATAGGTAGTTACATGTTAAGTATTTACTTCGAAGAATGTATTTTCATAGAAATTAAAACTTGGTTACGAATTTATAATTTACATATCTAATCTATAGAATTTTATCCACATGCATTATCTGTTACAAGTATTTTGTGTCCTGCAGTGGACTTATCTTACATGGTTCTCGGTGAAACACCGAAGTCAAGAATCACTAGCTGCGGTCAGAAAGCGTAGTTGTGACCGTAAAGTGCTCGACCTCACGCGCAGGTCGTCGAGCGACCAAAGACGATAACCATCCCCTCTGCAGTGAATCAAGAGGATAAATCGCATCATCTTCTAGAATGTTTCGCAGACCGTCGCCAATAACTCATTGTGCGGCTCCAGTGTGACGTAAATAAAGTACCTACCTAATCAGAAGTGTTTTGTTTCTGAGCTGCTAGGAAACGTTTATATAATGTAGAGTGACATGTGACAAGAAGGTAGGGGCATGGTTTAGTGTGATACTTGGTGACAAAGAAGGGTGGCGTCAAAAATGGGTGCATTTATGGACGGACCGTATACTTACCCTGAGCATTGTAGGGTACATTCTCAGAAGAATCGATTCAACATGATCCATAATATCGGTACTTTAACCCATAATACAGTGTAAATTTGATGAAATTTTAATAAATTGTTAAATTTAACGAAGTTTCTGTTCAAGTTGAAGCATAATATGGTGTAATTAAATTTAATAAATCTGATAATGTGGTTCAACTTCGCACCATATTAAAACTGCAGACAAATTGAAACTTATGGTTCAAAATTCTCTAAAGTTTTTAACATTGTATAACATCAATAACATTTGAGAGTAGTTATTAAAAAAGTGATTTTAAAGTAGGGCTCTTTGTCTTCCGGAAAAGTGAGAAAAGTTCGTAATAACACCATTTCATTAATTTGTTTTTGAAGGAATAAATTGTCCTGTGATCCGCGATTGCCAAGGCATATAAACAGTTATTATCCTCCATTATAAACTGCCCTTTAAAAGATGTCAACTGCTCCGGATTCAAAAAAAATATATTCGGTTATCTTTACCAACTTTTTAAAAGACTCAACATGGCATAAATACTTGCTTATGCTGGGCTTAGAACAGGTGAAGGAATAATGGCACATTTCATACAGGCAAATTCTGGTGAAGAGCAATTTCTTTGACTGTGGCCAAACTTTTGGCACCTGTAACATTGAATTTCAAAACGTCTAATCGATGACATTCAATCTGTACTGGTAAACCTAGTAGCAATTTGATGATAACGATGCTTCAATCGGAGCTCAAATCAGGGTGTATCAAAAGAAAAAGTAGGAGGAGCTTATTCTCCAGGCTACACCTTTACTTTAGTTGATTGATTTTCAATGGAGAAATTCCAATTTCTGAGGAAAAAAAATTTCAGATTTTAAGTGCTGGTACCGCTTTTCAACTCCCGGATGGGAGTATTCATCTTTCTAGGAAATGATTGTAAAATTTTTATTTTTAGAAATCTCAGTACAAGTTTCATCCGGGATGTGGGTGGGGTCTAACTCCATCTTTGAAGTAGTTCCCGCCGGGAGAGCGTCAGCTGGTTTTCTCACAGGGCGGGTGTTTTCGCCATCATTTTCAGAGTTTTCTTTCTTTTCTTCATTTTCTGCTGTTTATTTGCAAATGTCGGGGATTTATAAATAAGCGACAATCGAAAGAAAATAACACGGTGACAAGCGAGAGCATACTTCTTATGGGGTGAAATGGAGGAAAGAAGGTGTCGATTGGTTTATTCACGATGACCTACGCTAAGATTAAGACTAAACTATTCACCCCACACCCCTATTCGAAATGACCTTTCCTCGTAACCATAGTACCTGCCACGACGCGAGACGGGTATCCGCAGGAGTTCTCTTGAAAGCCGCACTATAGGAATCTCTGTTTTCTCAGAGCTTTGGAGTTATTTTCCAGTCTCAGGGATGGGAATGGAGACAGTCCCTTCTAAAACAGGAATATATTGGGAATTCACTGGTGTTGAAGTCGATGCAGGTTGCAGGGGCTCTAGCATTTTAACAGCGTTCCAAGCATTCCACTCTTCTTTCAGAGGCAGTAATGTCTCATACATATATTTCGTGTTGTGTTGATTTTCATACGCATGATGTTGAAATCTTCTAGGCTTACTATCAGTAGTTTCAAAGTTAGTAGCTTCATCATAGATCTTGTGAACAATATTATCAGGATTGAACAGTGCTGAATTTCTAGCATAGTTGTACGCACGTTGTCGCAAAAATGTATGATCAAGAGTAGGCGATGGTGCAAACATACGTTTACTGCGGCCACTAAAACAATGAGTTGACATAGTAGCGTAGAGCTCGAGCGCGACACACCCTTATTCTATCAAATGGCATAAATCCTAGGTATAGGGGTGCGATTTATCTGGGCACCTGGGCCGCAAAGTTAAGTTCAGCTTGTGTTGAGTCTTAATGATCAGCAGGAAGTGAGGTTGCTGTAAATAGCCTAAATTGGAAAGTGTCACTTCGCGTAAGCCTTTAAATTATTTGAAAACAGCGGTGATTAAAAACCTTATCAAATTTATTAACCGTAAATAATTCTTTATAAAACTACCTCTAGTAAATAATTATCCACAGTTCGGAGCAAGTTGTCATCTCTGTCCTTTAACGTTTTAACTGTTAAAGTTTTGTTAACCAAATATCTCTTACACCTCCCGAAGACCTATATAGGAAATGGTTTTACTCCCAGCCTTTTTCGCTTTGTCGGGGCACAAACAGCACTGTTTATAATGTGTTGTCTTATGCTCTCAGGTACTGCATTTTTGTATGCAAAATAATTTAAAACAGTAAACCAGGTATTTCCTTTTATTATAAAAAACAGTAAGAGTCTATCAAGAAATCGTTGTGGATTTTATCATATTCCTTTCCCCAACTTTCGCCATCTCATATTCCTTATCACTGTCTTCTCAAGATTCGTGAATGGAGCTTCAAAAAGTAGAGTGAGCACAAATGAGAACAAGAATGTTGCTGTGAGGATGCTCGCAAACATATTAAACTGAAATTTTAAGAAAAAAAATCATTTAATCAACCTAATATTTATAAAAATAAATCAAACAATGCGTAAAAATGTGAAATCAAGTACAAGGGGGAAAATTGCTTCTGTTTTAATTTGTACTGCACTATTAAGGCTTTAAGAATATTTAACAAAATAGTTTTTCTTGTGAAAATTGTATTTTAAGACAGTCCAGAACAGAAAATTTAGAATTTTTTCTTCTTTTTTTATTATTATTATAACCGTTGTTGAACGTTCAATTTATGACTTCCAATGTTCATCTCCGCATGCTTGTAATTTTGAACCCAATCCAGAAGACAAGGGAATTACTGAAACAAGTATTGGGTTAAATTTTGCCTCCTTGGATGACAGCAAGTTTCGATTTTAATTTATTTTATAACCGTCGTTGAATTGCCGACCGAATTTTTTGAGTTTACGACTACTATTGTGCAATTCCGTAGCTTTGCAATTTTAAACAAGAACCAGAATACTCCTGGATTAGCCTGGTTGTAGTATATAATAATATAATAAATATTTATATCATTCCTATATTATGGTAGGACTGTATTTTTTCCATAAAATACATTTAAATAATGAAACACTTGGACTACCACTTGTTCTTTTTTTTTTAATTGCCGTTTTAAAGAGGCGCTAAACACAAATGTGTAAACTATACAGGCCTAAACATGCACAGTAAATAAGCTCATGGCAAATTATGTTTCTATAAACATTAATGACCATGGAAAACAAATTATTTTTTCGCATAATTTAAATTATACAAAAAAAAAACAACCTTATTCGGGAATGGGGATTTCAAATCAGAATTTTGTTCGGAAAGCTACAGTTTTTCTTTTTCTTTTCGAAACGGTATTTTTGGTTTATGGCTCTGAATGCACAGGTTCAGAAAGAACATATAGTTTTATATACATACACAGGACCCGCGTTAAGGATTTCAAAATATTATCTGTAAATTATCTAAACATCAAAAATATTAGCCTAAGGAAAATCTTAACAATTTCTTACGTGTGACTGATTTTCAACAGAGAAAACTTCAAATCAGAATGCAAATTTACTATAAATTTAATTATTTTATAAAATGCAAATTCAGATAGTCATTTTGCAGTTAGGGAGGAGTAAAGGAGCAATAAATGAGAGAGAGGTTAAAAAAAATGTAGATGTTTTAATCGTCTTTGAGAGAAAGAAATAGGAAAATATTGGGGTTATTTATTTTGATAACTTCTTAGGCTAGAGGCAGTAATACAAAAATAAATCTTAGGCAACATTATGTTAATGTCACGAGAAGGCATATTTTCCGCAAAAATATTTGGATGATAATATACATCTTGCTACTACATATTCTGTTTTATTGACACTGTAGGTTAAAATTTTTCACGTATAAATATTTGGATGATAATGTGCATCTTGCTACTACATATTCTGTTTTATTGACACTGTAGGTTAAAATTTTTCACGTGATATCACGTGGTCCAGCAACGAACGTGGTAACCTGTATTTTACGGTATTTTGCTTCATGCTTATATAGTATCTCTTGTTACTTACGTTATCTGGACTTAATATAATTCTGATTGGTTATGCGACGTACTTAACGGAAAATACTGCAATCGAATGAAAAATACAGAATTTATTCAAAAAATTCTCTTTGACCTTCTTTTTGGGATTGAAGGGAATATATATATATATTTCTTTTCGTAGAAAAAACCAAACACAAACCAATCAATAAAGCACAAATTCATTTGGCCAAATTTACGATTTTACCACGTTTGGCGAATTCTTAGCGCAGCTCCTTTAAAAATAACGCTTGAGACTTAAAAAAAAATCTGTGATCTTAACTTATCACATCCTAAACAGAAATGCATCTTCGCCTTGTTCTTACCACTCCCTAAATAGCAGAGAAATGGGGGATCTTTATATTCACTTGAGTGACTTTTGAAAAATCCTAGTTGGCTATAATTATATTATGAAAGTGCGTAAAGACTGTAGATTGTAAAGAGACTAGTAAAGATGTAGATTTGAAATTAGTGACGCGAAAATATCCAAGATTCATTCGAAAATTCTTTTCTTCAGATTATTTAATTTTTGTCTGAATGTAATAGTTTGTGAAGAACGTATAGGTTAATATGCATATGTATGCACTTAACTACTTCCTTGAAAATAACATGTAAGACAAATACATGACCTTAAAGTATCACCTTCTTCCAACCACTTCCTAAGTAGCACAGAAGAGGGGGAAATTAGAATTCATTAGAGTGAATTATGAAAAATCCTAATGAGAAAATACAATTCAAATTGCAGCTTTGCAGGTATGCAGTGAAGAGTTAAATCATTAAAACAAAGAATCGCACATTAAAACACATGCCTGAAAACCACAAGAATAAATGTTCCCAGAGTACATGTTCAATATGTGCACCCCTATGTACCTGGCACGTATCTAAATGATAAACCAGTTCCATCTACACATTTATCTTGTGCAGGATCGGCATTAATAGAAAGAGGCTGTTCCCCGGCTCTATGTAATTATTTAAAAGAGTAAAACCTGCATTTTTAGATCAACAGCATTTAAAATTTGTACCTAAAATTAATAGCTGTATGTTGGTAGCGCAGGAAATAGAGAACTCGACTCCCAATGAAGTGAACCGGGTTCCAATCTCAACAATGGCTGATCGATACGAATTCCGCACCCGGATGGCACCCATCACAGTGGTGACGTAAAATATCGTCAGTGATAGTCGGATCATGCCTTCAGGCTAATCACCTTATCCAAGGGGATCTTAAGTCGTCTTATCACCTGGAAAAATGTAGGGGGTTTTCCTCGCTATGTAATGCAGTTAGCTCCATCAGAAAGTCCTCCACGAAGGCAAGTTTCTTCCAATACTTGATCCTGGATTTTCCTGGTCTTCTGGATTGGGTTCAAAATTACAAGATTGCGGAATTGAACATTGGTAGTCGTAAACTCATAATTGGGTTGGCAGTTCAACGGCGGGTATAAAATAGCTGTATGTTGTATCAATCAGTGATGAAATTAACAGCAATGTTTTTTAAACAAAAAGTAAAAACTTATTCTGCTTTTTAAATACAACACTAGGTGATACTAAAGGCCTGGATACGTAGATTATAACTATATGTACGTAGATAATTATTAAATACCAAGTAATCTATGACATTAGGCCAGTGTTTCCCAAACTTATGACTTTTGTGTACGCTTTCTAAATTTTTCGTAACGCTGTGCGCCACTAATAAAAAATGAACATATTTTTTACTATAAAAAGTTGAAAATAACAACTGACTGTTGATATCACTAATTATCAACTGTTAACTCTGCAAAAAAATAGCCAATAGAAAAATATGTAATCATAAATTTTCATGGCTAGCTTTATTGTTAAATAAAATTTTTTGAAATTTTCGTTTTTTGCAAGATATTTCGCATAAGAACGAGTACCCCAACTAAACTGCTCCCGTACCCCTGGGGGTGCGCGTACCGCACTTTGAGAAAAGGCAATACTAAGGTACTACTATGGGCAATCCTAAGGTACTACTATAGGCAATACTAAGGCAATACTGAGAGTATGGTTTAAAAAAATTCTTCCCACATCGTTTCTTTTGCTACTTCTAATTTACTTTACTGATGAAATCTAAAAATAATCATACTTATATGGACAGCGAATGCAATTTTTGTGGTACTTACCATCATAGTTGAGTTATATATTATTACATTTGAGACTGTTCCAATGTATAAGTACTTTATTGTAAAATTCGTCAGGTAGGCCATAAACGTCAGACGACTGGCCAGCTCAAATCTCTGTGATCCAAGAATTTTCGCAATAATACCTGCAACAAAATGAAGTTTTACAAAAAAAATATGAATATTTGGTTTTAGATACTTATTAGATTTCACTTGCATTCCACGACCTCGTCGAAACACCACAAGTTCAAGTTAAATATGAGTGGAGAAAAGACCTCAGTTGCCCAGACATTTCATACAGTTCTTCAGTTCAGTTCTACTTATGTGATCCTCTGAGCTATTTGTGGGCTCCACTCCCTTTTGACGAATGCTCTTCGAACGCCAATAAATGCTACGCAATCATCACGTGATTTCGTAGCCTCATATACAGTTGAGTTCGCTAAGTTTGGCCATTTTTTTAAATGTGCCCTAACGGTTAGCGGCTTAAATCTTAACAGAGATTCAACATTGAAAATAATATGAATTTTTCATGAAAAATTTCTACTAACTCTTCAGAATTTCTTTGAAAATACAATAAACATTATAACAGGTCGATTAGAGAGTTTTATGTGCGAAAGTATTCGTTCGTTGTAGTGGAACTGGGCGTCTGAGGCCTTACGACCCTTTTTCCATTCATCCTGAAATTAGACTAAGAAACATACACGACCAAAATAAAGTTTGGGGAGTAAAATGGAGTTCGTGAGAGAGAAAAAAATGGCACTTTGCTATTATTAGTTAATAGCAAAATTGCAAGTAATAAAAAAGTACATGACAGAAAGTAAAATTAAAGTACAATGAGAAAATAAACACTAATGAATATTTACATTATTTACAGTTCGGGAATGCATACAAAAGGGGGGGGGGCGAGTTAAAAGAATGTGAGGATGTGTGTATATGTGTAAGTAAGTGTGGCTCTGTTAAGGTAGAGACCCGTCTGTCCTAGTAATTACCACTCGTGCCGGGTTGCTCTCTACACTTAAGTTACAGGGATTAGCTTACCCATATCAGACCCCGAGGGGTTGCTCTTTCGCAGGGATAAGCTGAATCTGCTTGTGAATAGTGTACGAAAGTACACGGCTCCTTTTACAGTAATGCAAAAGGTGCTTTTATAAAAGAAAGTGGTAAGATATTTACCTTTTAACACAATGGTAAGCTAACCTCCAGAAACTGAAAAAACTCTTAGTAAAATTTCTATACGAATTTATGAAAACGATCTGTTTTATCTTTCCAAATTAATATTCCCAAACAGAAATCCCTGACAGGGATTCTCTAACAGAAATAATATTTTCAAAAACGTAAAGAGATGAGTTTTCGAATGTTCTTTTAGAAATTTTGCTACCTGTACCTATTGCCCACAGGTGTGCTCTTTCGCTAACAGAATTTTCTAGTAGATGTAACACAAAGTGAGATCAGTTTGAATACCGGAGAAGAGAAAATACTAATTGAAAAATTTTCGATTTCTGACTTGTTTTTGGATGGAAAAGGAATGCTTTGATTGCAAAGACTTATCAACAGTTATTTTCTAAAATAGAAAGCAATCTTTCACATATGTTATAACATTCAACGAGTCTTGGTAGCCACGGTTCTTTATTATTTTTTTTCTTCAGAAAACAAGCTAGATATAAAATGTTTAATAAATAATCCCAAGAAATTGAAGTGAATTTATACTCTTCAATTCAATTGGCTTCAAAAAATATGATCATACTGATTTATCACTCTTGATAACTGATAAATCACTTGACACTGATAAATCACTTTTGAATTCCTCATTCACGTATGGTAAGTCTTGAGAATGGGAGCCGATTTTTGAGCGCTTGAAACACGTCGTATTTTATTATCGTCTTCATATTCTTTGAGGCCAAAGAAGTTTTTAGTCCAGTAGATATGAAACGGTTTTACTACCAGCTAATTATCTCTTCCAGATCATAAAGAGCTCTGATAATATGCCGAAAGGTGGTCCACAAACTTTACTCGACTGACTGTGATAGCAATATTCCACAATAGCTTTAATGCTAATACTTCCAGTTTTTTTCGAATATTATCTTTATTTATTTACCGAGGTAATGAATCTCATAAATTGCTTTTTAATTCTTAGATATGTAAATTTAATTATTATGATTATGTAAGATAAAGTAGATATTGTTGCACAGTTTAAAAAAATAAAAATAAAATGGTTTCACAACCAGCCTTTCCTCTTTTCCGTCTCGCTTTCACCCCTGATGAGTAGTCTAGTTATGTTCCTAACAGTGGGTTGTGAAATCATTGGACGTTTTTTCACTTTTATATTTTTCATAATAATCTTTTAGTCCAAGAAACACTATGTGCTATCCGTTGCATGTCAGCGCCCAGGATAATTGTTGGGCAATAACAATGCTTTGAAACTAATTCTGTTAAATTATAGAATGCATTCAATATTAAAATAATTCCTTCCTACAATTGTAAGTTCAATGTGCTGTCGCTACCAATATAAATAATCTACGTGAGAAAAAGTGCAAAATGCCAACAACATAGTTGCATGAAGACTAAGATCAGGTGCATGACGTCACAAGTATGATGAAAACTTGGTTCATCGTCTCCGATTCTCCCAGCTTGACTTCAGAATCAGAATGAGACCATAATTCAAGAGAATGATCCAAAATTTCCTTGGATCTTAGAAAAATTTAATAATAGTAGAACATAACCTTTACATAACTAGCAAAAATATTTCTACACATAAACTAACAAAAAACTCGTTTAGTCCAATCTGAAAGAATACGAAATCGGTGTCAACTTCTTTTGTTATGTAGGTACTTTATTTACGTCACACTAGATCTTCACCATGGGCTAGTGGCATCGATCTGGGAAACATCCCTGAGGATGAGTCAAAGACAGGCCAACACAATTTCGATACTCTGCAGAGGGGATCTCATTTGTGAGACCATTTCCTCAATTTAGACGTAGATCTAAAAGAGAAGAAAATTTTCACCAAATCCTTGTGTCCATGGTACTGCTCGGAGATGAACCACAGGACTTTCGATTCCTCAGATTTTACGAGCCCGTAAATCACATGTACTCGGTGGCCCTTATTGGAGTAGAGGATCGAACCAGAGCCACTATAATCGGAGTCTGATTCCCTAACCACTGGATTACTCGGTCCAGTTGTTAGAGAATCAGATAAACTATCAATTTCGTAAAAAAAGCAGAGGGAAATAGCTTTAGCTTACTCTCTAAAACAAAACAAAAACAAAAAAAAGAGAAAAAAAGCGACCCAGATGAGGTTGGGTATTAATTGGTTCAACTTGTATTCACGTAAGCCGTTTTGCCCAAAAAGGAGATATATAAGCTTTCGTTAATACATGAAATACCTTGTCATTGTGCAGAATAATTGTAAGTTTTTCTTCAGTCATTTTGTAGAATGCCTTGGCAATGTGTGGAACGTTAATCCTTTCATACTTTGCCGGTCAATTATAAGCACTCCATAAAATTCATAATTTCATACTTTGACAAATACACATATAAAAGAAATTATTAACTATTACCTCCAAGATCAGACTGACATGCAATTGTAATCCAGGCAAGTGAAAGCGCCCACAAGACACGATGTGAGCAGCCAAAAAGAAGTGAAGGTAAAAGTCCTGGAAATTCTGTGCCTTTATTCCAAATATACGGGAGAAATACAACTACCAACTGAGTAGAAATAGCTGCAATCCATAAAATTAAGTTGACTTTCTAAAAAAATAAACAAATACATAGGTCTTCAATTCTTTCGGAAGTTACAGAGGGTATTACAAATCAGGGGAAAATAAAGAAAATGAAGTGGCAAAATATAATTGCTGTATTTAGATTACTTCCTACATTTGGATTTTAACGTACAGTCTAATGAAATAAATTCACGAAGGATTTATGCAAATTGAACAAATAGATACTAGGAGTAGTTCTGTGATGGAACGGACTCTTTCTCAGACGATGCAATAGCTATAATGTAATAATAAAAATGTTCCACGTGGTGTATGTCCACCCAAGCCGATAACACTTTTTAAGTCACAATATATATATATATATATATATATATAT